GAAAAGTCCAGGAGAGACTGGGGATGAGAAAGCCTGAAGATAAAAATGTAAAAATAGCTTCTGTTTACTGAGAACCTCCCGTCAGGGGGCTGCTCCTCGCTTGGAATCAGGCTCAGAGGTCACCAAGCCACACAGCACGTGGGTGAGCATTTATTTCTTGCACCCCCTTCTCAAACGCAGCCTGGCTGAATGGTTAATATTCCTGTCTGATGCTCCCCCAGAAACGTGCTAAATAAAGGTGTCCTGCGGACTCTTGTTTTTTAAAATATTTTTTTTGAATAGCTTTTCTAATCCGGCACCTCCCACTCTAGAAAATAAAACCAGCCTTGAGCTCTTGACATGCTGCGCTGATGAAGCTAAGAAAGCAGCTGGTCTATTTCGGTGAGGGTTTTGGTTAGAACTGAACCGCAAGGGGCTGTTTAACCAATCAGTACATTCCAGTCCCCAGGCATGCAGCTAACTGGGCTTTCTACGTGTAAGGGTCCTAATTCTTGCCAAGTCTAGGCCGGACAACTTAATCATAGAAAATTCCTACAACTTTAGTTTCTTGAGTCTTGCCCACCTAAATGGTGTCTTTATGACGCGCACCTTCTAAGAAAGTGCCTTTCCTAGTGAGGGCGCACTTCCTACAATACCCTCCCTGCTGCTGGCCAGGGTCCCACCCCTCTTCCTGGCCCAGCTCGACCATCGCTTGCCCTCAGATGTCTCCTCCATCTCCCTCCGCAGCCCTCCTCCCTCAGTCTGTCACTCACTCTTCCTCATGATTCAGACATCAGTGTCCAAGACTGGGTTACTGCAGCCAAAACAGCAAAATCAACTTCCGTTGACTCAGACAGACATACTGAGGCTCAGGCATTCATTCAACAAACATTTATTATTCTGCGGCTCTGGCTCCTCACCAGACTCAGGGGTACAAGAGGGGACAGACAGGGGCACGGCTGGTACAGTTCACACCATACGGGACAGTGACCCTCCCTTGTTTTCCATGCTCACCTCCACCTGGCAAGGCAGCCGAATTGGGGGGGGGGCCACACAGGTGACTGGAGGGAAGGTGTGCTCATTTCTGAATTAGGGACCACGGAGCCACAGGACAGGGCAGCATGTGAAAATGGGGATGCCCAGCAGTGAGATGGAGGGCCCTGGAGCTGCAGAATGAATTCTGGGCTGAAAACGAGGTGTGGGCGGCAGGGGCTCATGGGTAAGCAGTTCAGAAATTGTGGGTGAAGAGCCTCATGCTCTCTGGCCATGAGAAACAGCCATCCTTTTAAAGAAGGGTTTGTGCTGCTTCCTGTCTGGGCTGGGCACAAAGTCAGGCCAAGAGGCGTGGCCACAAAAAGCACAGGTGAGTAGAAAGCTCCGATGTCCCTGACACGAAAGCACACGGGCTGAGAGGGATGTTAGTTTGGAATCGAGGGGCACCCTGGCTGACGGCCCTAAGAGTCGGTGAGGGGCCTCTCAGATGAAAGCAGTCCTAGTTTAGACAAAGACACTGAAAGTGGAAAAAGCCAAGTTACCCGTCATTCCTCAAATAAAGTGACATCTTTACCCTGAAGACAGATTCATCAGCCACCCTCCAAATCACACTTTTATTCCCTTAACTGATGAGGACACCAAGGAGAGGACCGTCCCGTGCAGGCGACCACAGCCCCAGTGCATGGACGCGACGTCCTCCATTGCAAAGGGGGGTTACGCGTTACTGTTTCCTGAGTGCCTGCCTGGTGCTAGGGGTGCAGGCTGGAAGCCCTGGCCGCCTTTCACAGTCTGACGGAGGACACACGCGAGAGACCGGTGGGCGGAGATGATGGGGGAGGGAGACAAGCACAGACGCATGCACAATGGGCTGCGGCAAGTGCCAGAGCCTGCGGCCCAGGGGACCGGCCACGGAGTCACAAACATCAGGGCTTCACTGCGCACAGCCGGAGGCCGCACCGTGGCACACTCCCACCCCCGACCCCTCACCCCCAGTTTTAAATTTTTATCACTCTACGAGACCCCGCAGTCTCCTTCATAACCTCCATGTGGGGTTTTTGAACAAACTATTCAGAGCCAGAAAATTCTAAGCTTTCTTCCCTTAACCCCCCAACCTCCACCAATAGCATTATTTACAGAATTCACTTTAAAATGTATAGCAAATGCTGTGCTAGAACTGTCACTAAACTAACATTTATTACTTTTTTTTCCATTTCAAACTTGTTCGCTTCATGTCTTTATTGTCCTGAAGACTTCTGGATCTTATTTGCTTGACACACACATTGTCATTTTCCTGTTTGGGAACAAAAATACAACTCTTAAGTAATTTTAAAAGAATAATTTTTGTAACCAAGTCTACTTTGCAAAGCCCCAAATCCTTGCTAGGTGAGATGCAGACCTTTCATTCTAGAAAATTAATCTTGAGGTTGGAAGTGAGCTGTCCAATGCATCCTGTAAAAGCTGCCTTAAAATATTTTTACTGTTTGGTGTTTTCAGCTTGAATATTTTGTCTTTTGATAGAAGGGTTTGGAACCTTTTTTTTACGTTAATACATAACTTAGAAAATTTCAACACTAAAACATACATTTTCACTAATTTTTAAAAATCCCACTCAGAAAAAGTGAATTGAAATGTATAATCAGGACTACGTCTTCGGGGTCTTTTTCTAAACGATCTGTGTGTCTGAAGAGAACAGTCACTCAGCACCGTGTGAGTGTGAGCTGTGTGCGGCGGGAGATGCTGGGAGAAGGCTCATTTTCTAGACACTTCGATAAAATCTAAAACGAAACCAGAGGCGATCACGTTTTCAGAGCTGCTGCCGGGAGCCGCAGTGTCTGCCCCGCATTTGCAGGTAAGCAGCCCGCGTCTACACTTCTGCACAGCGCTCCACTCAACAGCCCACCGGAAGTGCTGATCATGATGTGGGACACACTGTGGAAGCCGTCCCCACTGATGACCTGGTCAAGTGATCTTTACCATGGTGGGGGAAGAGTCAGAAAAACCGAAGACAGAATTTAAAAATCTGTGGCTGAGTATGAATACAAATAACCTGAAACCCTTACTGACCGAAGACATCACCTTAATACAAAGCAGCACAAATGTTCCTCAAGTGACTGAATCTTAGGAAAAGGTCAAAGTGGAGATGCACGCGGTGAAAATCCACATTACGGATGACAAAAGAACGGTAAATGACAAGATAATAGAGGCCTAAGGAGAACACACTCTGTCTGCCTCTGCTGACCGTGGTCTCCTGCCCTCTCTGTCCCTGTCCCCTCATCTCCAAGGGCAGTGGGACATTGGATGAGGTCCAGGATGTGGCCGAGTGCCAGGTCATGCCACCTTGTCACCACTTCCGGCACATGGTCAACAAGTCCCTGTGCCTCGGCAGTGACACCACCTCAGTCGTCTACCACAGGAGAAGGTGGGAGCCGTGGCCCACAGGCCTGGCGTCCACGGAGTCTGGGACTGCACGCCAGGAAACCCAGACCACTCAGAGGGGGAGCCGCGGGGCCTCGCTCTCAGACCAACCAAGTCGGGCGTCCCCCAGAACACCGACTGTGCTTCCCCCGGCTCCGCGTGTCTGCTCAAGTGGCAGACGACACGGGAGCTGCTGGCTCTGACGTGACGTCAACAGCGCAGACAGCCCGTTAACAGAGAAAATGTCACATGTG